ATTTGGGAGTTTTAGGTGGGTAGAACTCAGTTTCTAGTTCAGTTCATTCTGAGCCTCTTCTGGTTTTTGAAATATGTCAGCATACTTGCTAACCTGCCCTTTTTCACTCTCACTTGCTGCTGCTGCTGCTGTCCAAATGCTTACTTATAACACGTTTGTGTTTCCATCTTCCCATCCTCTGATCCCTTACTTTTTTCTGGGGTATAAAACCAGATAAACCAAGCTTTTAAGAATTATGTCTAAGATAACATCTGGATCAAGGTTTTTAAAATACTTGTAAGCAAGAGGAACCTTACCCAATAGAAAACTTAAAAATCGATCATAGAAATTTTTTACAAATTGTTTATAAAAGTTTTACCTTGCTTCCAGAATGTTCTTTGTAAGAAATCAGTGATCCCATATGAAAACAGAAATGTAGGTTTGGTTTCTAACTGTTGAAATGGAAGAACAGTAAAGTAGTCTGTAATAAGTTAGTATTTGAGGATGGAAATGGGGAAGGACTCAAAAAAATTTTAAAAACAAAACGAAGTTTAAATATTAGCTTACACGGTTATCTTGGAAAATTCTAAGTGAGTCCAGAGAGCACATTAAATTCTCGTGAGACTGCTCTAATGAATGTTTTTAAAATTGGCTTTATTAACTTCTAGGAATTATACCTTAAGTGTATACAGAAGAGTCGACAACCGCTGCTACTAATGTTAATGGATTTGCGTGAAGTCAGAAACCATTATAGAAATGAGAAAATATTGTGTCAGAATTAGAAATGACTTATTTTTCTTTAAATGTTTGCCACACTATATTTATTTTGACTGGAAGGAAGAAAAACAATTAAGGGCAAAATTCTTTTTTGCCTTGTATAAAAGTTCTAAGTATTACACTTTTATTTTGGAAAGTGTTTTTGTTACGAGTAAACCTTAAACCTCTGACAAAATCTGAAAGGCAAACACATGGTCTTGTTTTGCTGTCTCAGCCTCATGTAAAGATTCTAAACATAAGTTTCAACATCTTCAAACAGGGATGTTCTTTTTTTTGTTGTTCTTGTCTTAATACATTAATTTCAACCCTCTAATCTCCAATTGAGAACTTTTCATACTTTCTAATCATTTAGATTACTCTAATTTAACTAAATGCAAATCATTCTAAAGTATCCTTCGACCAGTTTTTGAAATTGAAGTCATAGTTCTTATCGTGGAATCAAAAGTATCTTCTGTTAAAGGGAAGAGACAGAAGGTTGGCCACAGCTTACGCTGACCTGAGGGTAAACCTGGTTAATCATTTTACAGAGAAATGGGTGGGGTGCTGGAACAGACCTTTCCTGGAACAGGCTCACGGGAAGATTCTCTTGTTCCCTGTTCACCCTGACAGTGGCCTTCTGGGAGTTGGACACCCTTGCCCTCATCCCCTGCCAAACAGGTCTATAGATCCTAACTTTTCCAGTAAGAACTTGAAAAACTCTAAAGTTTTGCATTTTTGTTTTATTCTCTGGTTAAGGCAACACATATCACAAAAAGCTACATGAATTCATCTCATAGCAGCTTTTTAAAGAGCCTCTGAAGTTTCTGCTCAGGCTGCAGTGGTCATTCCCGAGCCCCCTGGGTGAGGGCCCACGGGCTGGGGACCCACACTGCTAAGCCTTCTCCAGGGCTCCCGTTCCGTGCTGTGTGATTTCAACCGCACGGGGTATTATTTCACTTCATAGCGTTTTCTTGTAACCCACGTTCCTTCCCCATTTTTCTTTGTTACTACATAGCTGTGTTTGTGTTGTTTTTGATTCCTTAGCTCCCTTTTGCCATGCTTTTTTCCTGAACTGTCAGAAAAGTTCACACCCAGAGTGAAAGCTAATTACAAACAAGTGGCAATCTTGATTTGGGTCCCTAGTTGTACCGCCGGTGATGAGCTGTAGGGCGTTAAAGCTGTATTCTGAAGTGGTTGTCCTCCTTCCCATAACCTGTGCCAGTGGTTCCCAAATGCAGACCACCTCCTTAAAGACCACCAGGGGAGCTTTTTAGGTAACATATAGGTTCTTGGGTCCCCTCTGGATATTTTAGACTTAGTAGGCCTGGCATGAGTGGTCAGAAGTCTTATTTGGAAACTACCGATTTTCTCTACAGTCCATAAAATCTACTTATAGTGGCATATTGTTAAACCTTTTTGTTCTTTTATCTTTTTTCTAAAGGGCCAACAGAATTGGACTAAGTCTAGGGTTAGGCTTTTTTTTTCCTGGGTCACTTTCTTAGTATCACCAAGCTATGAGGAAAAGCATATATATGGTACTAATCACTGGAGTTTTGGGTGGCAGCTTGGAAAGCTGCCAATGCTGGGTTTTAGATGGCCCACCTTGGTTCTTCTAAAAGGGGGTGGGGTGGAGGTTTACAGTAGCCTTTTTCCTTTAAGTCTCAGATATCATGAACTAGATAAAAGGGGACAGTTCCCTTTTAACTGCAACATCTGCCTTAGTGTTGTCTTCATCTCCTTAGTTCACTTTTTCAGTTGAGTATGATAAAGAGGTGTCCTGGCTGTATCAGTCAGTGTCTATAGGGTTTCTGGCCAACTAACCTATACTGTGTGTGAATAATGTAGTTAGGAAGGCAAACCTCGTCTGGCCAAGCACCATTTGTGACCTCAGGCTATGAAGCAGTGATCAGGGTGGTTCCTTTCACCAGAGGGGTTATTTGCTGCGTGTTCCTAGCAGGAGAGGGCTGATTCAGGGCTCTCCATTACCCCACCTGGAGAAAATGATGGTCAGATCACAAGGAGATATTGAAGACCCATACTGTGTGAGCCAGTGGGAATGATGGGTGACAGTGGTGATCACGACCCTTCACTGGGGATCTGTTGCTCTACGTAGGCCGTGTGTCCTTCCCCCGTAACCCCCCCCCCCCCCAACTTATCAAAACATCCCTGTGAGGTAGCTAGTGCCTCCTGGCCATTCACGGCCCTGCTCTTCCCATTAGCCCCTGTTCTTTCGTCCATGATTTCTCCCATTTTGGTTCTATTTTTGATTCCCCTTCTTTTCATTCTTTATGGCTTTCTTTTATACTCTTGTTCCCCTAACGTATGTTGTTGCTTCTTCCACTCCAAATTTCAGACTGGGGAAAAAAATCCATGGTGTGACTGAGTATAACAGTGATTGAGCAGGTATGGGATAGACTGGCATTCCATTTGTAATATTTAGAGAACTGGTTGGACTTTAATACATATTGAAATGAAAATTGAGTAACTTGTAATTGGGTATTTTCATTATTCTCCTCCTCCCAACATAATTATAATGTAAAAAGAGCTGCAAACTTGTACTCCTCTTAGGGTGAGATTATAGAGATAAAGTGGTAAAGCAGAGCCCCTGTCGTGGGTCAGAAATTAAACCTTTTGGCTTAAAATGGTCATCAAAAATGATGTAGCTGTGAGCAAAGACCTTCTGTGTGCTGAGGAGTGATTCTCTTTCTTAAAATTATTTACATTTTCTTATGACGTGTTTGAGAAGTTTGAGAATTGAGGAGTTTCTTGTTTATTCACAGCTAAGTAGTCTTAGAGTGGGTTGATCATTATTATTCAATTTACTCCACCTAAGGTTACTGGTTTGGGTGCAGTCCTGCATCAGACTGTGTCTGAAAGACTGCTCTTTTGGGGAGGAAATCCACACATAAAGGAAAAAGGGAGAAGAGAGGGGATCTTTTTCCTTATTTTGATTGGGATGGTGCCCCTATCATTTATCTTTTGATGTGTTACTTCACAGCGCTGGCCCCAAAGGCGACAACATCTATGAATGGAGATCGACCATCCTAGGGCCGCCAGGGTCGGTGTATGAGGGTGGTGTGTTCTTCCTTGATATCACTTTTACCCCAGAATACCCCTTCAAGCCTCCAAAGGTAAGAAATTCCTGATTTATACTAAAATTTCATGTTCCTATCAGAATATTGAAGCTCTTAAAATTGTTTTTAATCACAGAAAGTAGGTTTGTATTCTACCTTAATGGAGTGGTTTTTAAAATGTTTTTGATCTCACGGCACATATAAATTAACCACTAAAATTCTGTGGCACACCAAAAATATATTTTGTTGACAATCTGACACCAGGCGGCTATTGTGTTAGCTATTATTTTAAAAAATAATCTATTTAGGCCCTCTGGTGTAGCTCAGTGGACTGAGCACGGGCTTGCGAACCAGACAATCGCGGTTCGATTCCCAGTCAGGGCACATTCCTGGGTTGCAGGCCAGTTCCCTGCAGGCCAGTTTCCAGCAGGGGACGCACGAAAGGCAACCATACATTGATGTCTCTCTCCCTCTCTCCTTCCCTTCCCTTCTAAAGATAAATAAAATAAAATCTTTAAAAATATATATATTTTATTTTTAGAGAGAGGGGAAGCGAGGCATAGGGAGGGAGAGAAACATCAGTGTGTGATTGCCTCTGGTGCACCCCCTAGTGGGGACCTTGTCTGCAACCCAGGCATGAGCCCCGACTGGGAATCAAACTGGCAGTCCTTTAGTTTGCAGACTGGTGCTCAATCCACTGAGCCACACCAGGGTTCATTTTTTTAATTTTTAAGGGAAAAGAGGTTGTGTCCCTGACTTAAATAGTTATGCATGTTTTAAAAATTCTTGCGGCACACTAATTAAAAATTGCTGCCTTAACGAATTCCTAAGTACATTTCTAAGTACATTTGAGTACACACAAAACACTCCTTTGGGTTCACTTTGCCTCATTTGGCAGAGACCACTTCTAGGAATAAGTGCTTTGTTGGGTCCTGTTACAGTAGTCCCCCCTTTATCCCCAGGAGGTATGTTCCAAGACCCCCAGCAGATCCCTGTAACGACAGAGTACCAAGTCTCTGTGCAGTTGACCCCTCCCTGCACAATGTAGGTGAGGGGTGCTGACCCCCTTGTGCAGTTGAAAATTCACATGTGACCTTTGACTCTCTTATAACTTAACTACTAAGCCTATTGCTGACCAGAACCCTTACCAATAGTTAACACAAATTTTGTATATCTATTATATACAATAAATAAGCTAGAGAAAAGTTTATTAAATCATAAAGAAGGGAAAATACATTTGTAGTATTTATTGAAAAAAATCCATATAAGTGGACCCACACAGTTAAAACCCATATTCAAGGGTCAACTGTACTGTTTTTTCCTGTACCTACACATTTATGATACAGTTAAATTGGGAAATTAGGCATAGTAGATTTAGAACAACTAAAGTAGAATGTAATGTACTGCGATAATAGGAGTTAGGTGAGTGTGGCATCACTGGATAGATAAAGTAAGGGTCATAGGAACAAGCACTAGGACACCGTGGCAGCTGACGTGACAACCCAGACGGCTGTGAGTCAGAGGCGCACGTGCATGGATTTGCCAGAGGAAGGGGTGATTCACATCCCAGCAAGACAGCGTGAGATTTCATCACGCTACTCAGAATGGCTCGTAATTTAAAACGTGAATTGTTTATTTCGGAATTCTACATTGAATATTTTTGGACCACAGTTGGCCCATAGGTAACTGAACTCAGGGAAAGCAAAACCACTGGTAAGGAAGGAGCTTACTACTGTATTTATAGTAACATAGCAATCCCCTATTTTCCACTCAACAAAAAGTTTCTAAACAGTTTAAAATGGTGTCAAATGTTCATGCACTAAGACAATTAAGAATCAGAATCTCCTGAGCAAAGCCTTAGATTCCACTGCTTGCCATCTTTTGGCGGTGAGTCTTACCCTGCAGGCTCTGGATGTCTCATCCAGGATGGGTGGGATTGCCCAAACCATCTGCCTCCTGTAACACTCAGCGATCTGTGACTCTCAGCCACACTGCCAGAGGGAAAACCTCTTCTTGGGGATGGCACACACTGTTAGATACATGCACAATTGCAGAAGCAACTGATTGAAAGTCTGTCAATCAAAATAAATGGTAAAGTTATAGGTTATTTTTACATTGGAATGATCCAGGGTATTTCACAAATAAAAAGTAGGCCAAATAACATAACTCAGGCTCATGTGACTTAGATGTACAGGATAGATATCTGCAGGATCCAATGTAAAGGTCAGAAAAGGGAAAAAAATTCTTCAAACTTTTGGGTCAGTTTTGAAAGTGATACTGCTTTGCTAAATACAGCTCTTTGGGTGTGTGATCATTATTTAATTGTCTTTATGTACCTCAATTTGAATTCATGATTCTAAAGCTTGCTTTCAGGCCTTGTAATACTACCAGCTCGCACAAGAGGTCAGCAATTAGCTATTCAAACATGGAAATGTTACGAAAATGTTTAAACATTAAAACTGCTAAAGATGAATTCTAGAAATATTGTACTTAAGTTAACTTGCCTTTTGTTGATGGATATTTTTTTTTATGAAATTGGCAGCCTCTAAGATTATACAGTGAACATTTTTAAATCTCAAATTTATTAAACAGTCTCAACCTATTTCTTACAGGCTTTAGTTAAACTGATGTTCACCTTTTAAAAAACCTTTAAGAAGTTTTTAATTAGGGCCACTCAATTAAAAAAAGTAACCTAGTAAAAAGCTTCATTGTTTGATGTTTTCCTTTTAACACTAACTTATTTTTTAGGTTACATTTCGGACAAGAATCTATCACTGTAACATTAACAGTCAAGGAGTTATTTGCTTGGACATATTGAAAGATAATTGGAGCCCAGCACTAACCATTTCTAAAGTCCTCCTTTCTATCTGCTCACTCCTTACAGACTGTAATCCTGGTAAGGTTAATAATTCTTTTCCTTGTTTTATTCTTCCTTGCCTGAAAAGTACTTTTTTCCCCACATAAACTATGATTTTCTAAAGATAAAGTGAAGGTTTTATTTTTCTGACAGCTTTCAAAGGACAAAAATAGCTTTGTAAAGACATTTTTAATCAAGAGGAGTCCAGTGTACTAGTTGGGAAAAGCAGCAGCTCCACCATTAATTGGTATTACATTCTAGGAACAAGGTGTTTGTTTTAAACTGAAGATTTCCAGTTTGTCATAGGTTTTCACATTTTTCAGTCATTCTCATTTTTTCCCCTTTTGTATAGGGTGGGACAAAAGTAGGTTTACAGTTGTTAAAATGGAAAATAATATAAATTGTTTGGCATAGTCACAACTGTAAACCTTCTTTTGCCCCACCTGTAAATACTTCTCACATGGTTCTCTGAAAACAAGCCACAGACTTCTGAATGTTGAGCCATCTGCCCCTGTAATCTCCTCTGTGTCTGCAGTAACTTGCCTTGCAGCTGGTTTACTGGGGCGGTGGGCAATTCTGAAAGTGATACCGCTTTGCTGAATACTCACTGATTACCAGACTGTGTTGGGGGGGGGCTTAATTTGTTTTATTAAAAAATTTCTTAAAGCAAATATAAAATTAATAAAGATTCTATTTAGGGTTCAGAAAAACACTATACTTAGGCCCAGGTAAATAGTGTTGCATTGCAGCAGTCACAGGGCCCACACAGCATGCAGTGCCATTCAGTGAAAGGAAAGGTCCTGTCAACTCAGTTGGATATTCATTGCAGTCTGGAGCCCTCCACATTCCAGTTTCCATCGAATTTCCCCTAACCCATAACAGCAAGAAAAGCCTGGGACATAACAGCCAGGCCAGTAGTGAAAGCCTGAGCATTCTATTTTAATAAGAACTGTCCCCTACCCATGTGCTATGTTTCTTAAACTACCCAGAATGGTAAAGTTGTATTTCAAGGATAGATTTGATCACCCATCCTTGAAACATTTCTTCCCGAGTTCTTACTAATCTATGTTCTTTTCTTCCAGCCGACCCTTTGGTGGGAAGTATTGCCACTCAGTATATGACCAACAGAGCAGAACATGACAGAATGGCCAGACAGTGGACCAAGAGATACGCTACATAAACTGGGTTTTCACAGTTCTTACCTTATTTGTCTGTCACAGAGAGAGCTGCTTATGATTTTGAAGGGGTGGGGGAGGGTGGGAGTTGGTAAAGAGTAGGGTATTTCTATAACAGATATTATTCAGTCTTATTTCTTAAGATTTTGTTGTAACTTAAGGTATCTTGCTACAGTAGACAGATTCGGTAATAGCAACATTTAAAATTGCCATTAGTTCTGCAGTATAAGCTAAGATGTAGTACAGAGAATAGACATTTGGATTCAGTTGCTTGCAGTCTGTAAATTTAAAACAGCCTGATTTTGTACAGACTACACACATGGCCATTTATGTGACGTCCTTCCAAGACTACATACTTTTTTGTTTTAAAAAATGGAAACTTGTTTCCCTTCTTGGAAGGGAACATTGATATTTAACAGTTTTTAGAGACTATCATCTCGTATATATTAAATGGACACATGGCTGTAAGACACCACATAGGAAATGAGTAGTTATGTATTTTATTTTATATGCCAATCTATTGTGAAAAGATTAGAGGTTTGAATCAGGACTCGTGAAAAACTGTAGTAAAATACCTTAAGCTGTTAACTGTAAGGCGTGGAATAGGAGTTGCTCAGTGGATTGGTTATTTGTTGTGGGCTACTTCAGCCTGCATTTGTTACTGTGCTAATAAACAATATTAAAACAACCACCTAACACTGCGGTATTCATTTATTTTCTTCTGCCTTTGTATTTGGAAGATTCTTTCTTTTAAAGTTGATAGATCTTTTGCTACTACAGCAACCTAGAAGTAACTGCAGACTGAATGAATTGGTACAGTGCTCTAATTTATACAATAGATAGCCTTGCAGAATAGATACTGAGGTGTCTTAGAAAAGATTAATCCAACTCACCATATTTCACAGATAAGCCCAAAGGTGAATAGTTTTAAATGCATTTTTAAGTCACAGATGCCATGGTGGCGGGCAGGTACATGAGAAATGGGTGCTCTTGTGGATAAATTAGTACAGCTACATTAGAGGGCAATTTGGGAGTACCTAAGTGTTCTGATCTATAGGGCGCAGCAATTCTGTTTCTTTGTATCCACACCAGAGAATCTCACCCAGGAGCATGGGATGAAGGTACACAGACATTAAGTGTTTCAAAGGAATATGGTTAACTATATGCATGCCAATCTAAGTTCACACAAAAAAGAAACAAACTGCAGGACACTCTAGTATATTAGTTTAGAATCATTGTGAAAGTGTTTATCCATCTATGTAAAATACATGGGAAAAAAGCCGAAGGATAAACTCACATAAGTGGGAGAGAAGGTAGGGGATGACTTGACCATGCGTGAGTGATAATTTTTGACCAAAAATGTATTTGTGATGAGAGATTTTAAAGAATTATATAGTGGCAGTACTAGCTGAACCTAAAAGCATTCCATTAGCGGTTCGATTCCCAGTCAGGGCACATACGTGGGTTGCAGGCCGATTCCCTGCAGGCCAGTTCCCAGCAGGGGATGCACTAAGGCAACCATACATTGATGTTTCTCTCCCTCTCTCCTTCCCTTCCCCTCTAAAGATAAATAAAATCTTTAAAAAAAAAACAAAAAAACATTCCATTAAAGATGTAAAAATTTTCTAGATGTTTTCACATTTTTCGTGTGAAGAGCTTATTTCATGTTTTACAGTTAGTTAACTGCTTTCACACTAAAACCACTAAGTAGCTTGCTTCCTACTTTTAAAATTAGTTATGATATTGTCAGTTTGCTAAATACTGTGAGCCCCATTGCTCAGACCTTGCCAAAAATCTTCAGAGAACCTGGGCACAAACTTAGATATCCAACCTGAAGACTACCTGTAGCCCAATTATTTTTATGCTACGTTTTATTCCACTTGACTACATATCCAGAAAACTATTCTAGAAAGCATAGCATTCCTTCTGGAAAACAAGTTTTACTATCCGTATGGGCCTAAGAGTTTTCTGAAGAAACAGTTCGGATGTATTTACACAAACCACTACCTCAAATCATGCTAAACATGCAATTTGAATGAAGCTAAACCATAGGTCTTGTTCTATTTAGCGGATCACCAGCAGGTAAAATTCAGCTTAGTACCCAAATTGTCCATTGTTTCATCCAAGTTAGACACAAAATGCCATTTTATAATTCTAGGCATTAGATGAATTTTTAAAAACAAAGTTATGTTTGAGCTAAAAATGCATACAGTTTACAGAATGGTAGCTTTTGAAACATTAAAGGGGGCACTCCTCAAAAGGTACATATAGGTGCTAATATCAGGGACAAGTTTCAAGCAACCAGAAGACAAATATATTACTTCATAGCAGGCAATAAAATAAACAGCCCAAATAAATTATAAAACACAAAGTGCATTAAGTTACTTCCTTAGGGATTTCCAAGTGACCAAAGGTAGCTGCCAATGGCCTATTTTAAACATGTTCACAGACACTTAAGGCAATCACTATTCACCAAACAAGTGTGGCACTGACTTTCAGTTCTCGGAGCTCGAATTCCCTTTGTTTTTCCTCCCAGGCAAAGGAAAGCTCGATTTGCTCTGGGGCTGGGAAAGCTTGCTGGCTAAGAGGGTGAACGGTTCAATGAGGGTTTTCCGGTCTGTGACCGTGACCTCCCACAGCCGCACCTTCTCACTCTTTGCCCACTGCTGTGCCACTTCTGCGTCCACTTGTCTCTGCTCGGAAAGATCAAGTTTGTTTCCTAATACGACAATTGCTACCTGAAAGACAATTGGATAAAACGATCACACTTTGCCAACGTTAGTTCCTAGGCAAAGTGAAGAAATAAACTGTCCCACTTAACAGACTGCTTCAACAAGACGGATTCTCAGATGTGACCCAAAGCATGGAACAGTAGGACATGAACCTCACTCCTTCCTCACACATTTCTTGTTAAAAGTACAGACTTTTAGGTTGTTTTAAATTAGCAACAGGTGAAGTTACTCAACTCAGCTATGAATGGAAGCCAGACTTGGGGAGATTAATACCTAGGATACAGATAATGGTTTGACTGAAATGTGCCTGCATTTCAGTTTCACTATACCTGCTCTGTGCGGTTTCTATAAACGAATGTCAAAATACACCAAGGGGACTCTCAGTTCTGCAGCCCTAGAACCTAAGAGTTATGAGAATAGGAATTTTCTGTTCACATTATTCTTAATTACAGAAAATTACCTAGCCCTGGCTGGTGTGGCTCAGTTGAACGCTTGTACATAAAGGGTCGCCAGTTCCATTCCCAATTGGGGCACAGGCCTGGGTTGAGGGCCAGGTCCTCAGTAGGGGTGTGTGAGAGGCAATCACACATTGATGTTTCTCCCCCTCGCTTCCTCCCTCTGTCTAAAAGTAAAATCTTTTTTTTTTTTTAAGGGAGTATAGAGCTTTATTGGGGTTTGTGCGCCCGAGTGAAGTTCCCTGGTCTGCCAGTAAAATCTTTTTTAAAATAGATTTTATTTATCTTTAGAGGGTAAGGGAAGGAGAGAGGGAGAGAAATATCAATGTACGGTTGCCTCTCATTACTGGGAACTGGCCTGCAACCCTGGCATGTGCCTTGAATGGGAATGGAACCATGATCCTTTGGTTTGCAGGCCCGTGCTTAATCCACTGAGTTACACCAGCCAGGCGCAATAAAATCTTTTAAAAAAATACTTAAAAAAAAAAAAAAAAAAGGTTACCTGATGCAATTCTAAATACTTGCTGAGTGCATGGACCAATAGCAACATTCTACAATAAATGCAAGACACTCAGTCACTTAAACCTGGATGCTTACTACATACCAGGCACTGTTTCGGGTGACCGAAACACAGCAGTCACCAAGCCCAGGGGAAAGAGGACGTATAATAAACAAATTTTCGGATACTGCCTCTAAAAACAATGGGAAAGTGGAGGAAGGGCAACAGGAACTGGCAGAAGGCGCCTCTGAGGAGAAGCTTTGCACCAGAACCTTCAAGCCATTTACTGTGTTCTGGCCTTGAAGCTGAACTCCCTATGCCCCAGGTAAGGCCATGCCTTCCTGGCAGGATGGGGACGGTCCCCGAGCTTAGTTTTCTTGGCAAATCTCATACTCCATTTCTCAGCAGGAGCTGTCCCTTCAAGCCCTTCCGTCATTCTTCTATCACCTAGATTTTTTCTTCACATAAATCCCCTAGTCTGACCTCCATCTCTCCTTCCTCCCTGATTGCACAAACAATTCCACCGTGTTTTTAGACTTCACAGAGTCCTCGCCCTACATCTCCCATCTCTGCCTAGAATAGAATGTTCCTGTCACTTTCCCTAGCTGAAACCTGGCTCAGCCCTGCAGTCCCCTCCCTACCATGAGGTGGGGCTGGGGAGGATATAAAGTGTCGTTGACCCTCAAAGCTGTCGTAACACATCTTCCTTAAAAACCTCAAAACTGGAGGCTGGTGCTGCTGATTTGTGCTACTGCCTCCTACCCGCTTTCCACTCCCATGTTGCTGCTGCTCATTACAGGCCTGGCTCGTGGTCACGCCCACACTGCTTTTGTCATAATTCCTGGTCATTTCATTAGTCACGTAGATGACCCTTTCCTAACCTTGTCTCTCAGTTCCTTGACTTTTTAAAGATCTTAATCAGCCTCCTGACCTCAGCCATTCACTCCCACAAACACATCCTAGCTCTTAGCCTTGTAGCTGCCCCCCTCTGGGGTCTCCATCCCAGGAATCCCACTCTGACCTCTACCTTCCTCACACCCAAAGGCAGCTGTAACCACCACAAGGACCTGCAGTCCACTGGCTCTGCCCCCTCAGCACTGTCCTTCCACCCTCCTGCGTCCTCAGTTCCTCACCCAGGTTCATTATCCCATTCTATGTACCAAAAAGTTACATACTGCGTGACTCCATTTATGTTAACACTCTTCAAATGACAAAGTTACAGGAAGGAGAACAGATTGGTGTTTGTCAGGGATTAAGCAGGGCAGTGATGGGACAGAAGTGTGTGGTTATGAAGGTAATACGAGGGATCCTTGCAGCAGGGAAACGTTCTGTACCTTGACTGCATACATGTGTCTTGGCCGTGATATTGTACCATAGTTTAGCATAATGTTAACATTGGGGAGAACTAGCTAAATATTGCTATTATTTCTTGAAACTGTATGTTAATCTACATTATCTCAAAATACAAAGTTTAACAGAGTAAAATGTAAAAATCTAGGTTAAGAACACCTAGCCAGTGCCGTTAACCAGCACATTACAGAATGTACTAGATGATGAGGAGTCAGCTTTGCAAAGATCTGGGACATGATCTCTGATAAGAGAGTTCCAGGCATGAGAACTAGCAATTGAGAAGGACTTAATAGTGGAAGAAATTTATCATGTTGGGAAAACAGAAAAATGACCAGCGTTGGTGGAATCCAGAGGCAGAGGAACAGAAAGGTAAAAATAAGATGAAACGGACAGTCACGGGGCAAGTCCGAGAAGGCTTCATAGACGATGGTAAGGACATTTTTAAGTGTTAAATGGGTAGATATCAATAACTACATTTAAGTTATTTTTATTTTTCCCTTGTTTTTTTTGTAAGGCCGAAGACAAGAATCCTATTTAGCGTAGGTGACAATAAAGAGCCCTAAAAACCAATACCACCCAACAAATTCCATAAAGAAGGAAAAAAAGAGCCCCAGGAAACAGTGATGCCACACAATATGAAATGAACCACCTGTGTAGTACTTGAGACGTGGAGTCATTAATATGAAATGAACTACCTGTGTAGTACCTGAGACGTGGAGTCATTAAAATTCAACTTATACATGGCAACAAGCAAAGGCAGGAGAAAAAAATAAAAATAAAGATTACAGGTTCTGTGAATACAATTTGAAGCTTTGAAAATATTTTAACTACCCTAAATTCTATGCTATACTCTAAATAGTATTATAATTCACAGCTGGCATTTTTAACATACCCACGTACCTCTTTTTTGTCTTTAAACTTATCGATTTCTTTCTTCAGAAGCTCCACTCGTTGAAAGGATTCGAGGTTGTTCACACTGTACACGAGCACAAAGCCATCAGCCAAGGAAAAGTAATGCTTCGGCAGCTCCACACCTTCCTGCAGGCCTCTGGTGTCGTAGAGATGTAACTGTTCCTTCACCCCCCGGTCCGTTTCCACCGAAGCCATGTACACATCTTCCATTGTCTCACAATCTTCCATTCCTGGGACGAAAAGGTTACTCTGTGCACCAACAGTTATTACATCGCACCGATTGTTGAGTATTTTCCTGTGCTTCAGAAGTTCTTGGCTTTCTAGGTTCCCAATTTACTACATGTAATATCATATTTCCATTGACTAACTTCGTTATAGTTGTTATAGTAAAAGAACAAATTGCTTTTAAAAAACATTCTGGCACTGGCTGGGCATGTATCATTTGGTTGGAGCACCATCATGAACGCCAAAAGGTTGCGGGTTTGATCCCAGGTCAGGGTACATATGTAGGCTGCAGGTTCAGTCCCCTAGTGGGGGAGGCAACTGATCAATGTTTTTCTCTCTCATATCCATTTTTTTTTTGGTCTCTCCCTCTCTAAAATCAATTTTTTAAAGATTTTATTATTTTTCAGAGAGGGAAACAGGGAGAGGAAACTTGGATGTGCGAGAGAGACATCAGTTGATTGCCTCTTGCACGCCCCCAACTGGCCCACAACCCAGGCATGTGCCCTGGCCGGGAATCAAACCGGCAGCCTTTCGGTCCACAGGCCAGCACTCAACCCACTCAGTCTCACCAGCCAGGTCTCTCAAATCTATTTTAAACATATCCTTGGCTGGAGGATTTAAAAAAAAATACTTATTCTTTAAAGAAATAAAAGTATAAATAAAAATTTAGTAATGATTTAATGCTACATATTTTTAAAAGTAACAAGAGTCAAAGAACTGAATACCTAGATTGGAAAATTAAAAGCTGATTTTAAAAGTAGCTTCAACAATTAAGTGGCTCTATTTTCTTCTCCCTCAGAGCCACGGACAGGACCTGGGGGTAAATTTGCTGCCTTTTTTCTGTACAACTTCCCCTATTTCCAGGGTTTATACTAAAAGATTTCTTTGTCCAGTCTGGGCCTGAGCACCAGCCTTTAATTCCCAAGTACCCGCTGGGCTCTTTCATGTGAATGTCCTGCAAGTTCTTCAAAATAACATAACTTCAGTTCCTCCCTCTTTGCTCTCCCCCCTTGATCACCATCCACCTGGGCAGTCCTTAAACGAGTTCTCTTTAAACAAGGAAAGGGTGGGTGCGCGCCATCGTAAATCAGCCACTCTAATGCCGAAACATCTGCTCAGTGCATTGCCTCTTTCCATTCCCACTGGTGTGTTACCACCTGCACTGCGGCAGCCGTTCGGTGAACATCTGGTAGACACCTTTATCCTTTCTAGACTGCTCAAACGTCAACGCTGTGGATCCTCTCCTGATTATCCCCTTCTCTCCCTTCTGCTCCTGTGGTGCTCTGTATAGGTAAAGTACCATTTAATATTTAAATCTTCCCATATCGGTCCCTTCCAAACCTGGAATGTAAACTTTTTGAGAGCCCGGACTGTGGCTAATGTATCTTGATAGTTCTGAGGACCAACAACTTGACTTACATACATAGAAAGTCCTTAGTAAATATTTGCTAAATAATTAATTTATAATTGATGTCCCAATTTTAGCCCCCTTCTTGCCTGAGTGATCCTTTTAAAATGTATTCCTAGCCCCAGTCGGTTAGAACATCATCCTGATATGCCAAGGTTGTGGATTCGATCCTCAAGCAGGGCACGTACAAGAATCCACCAGTGAATGCACAAGTAAGTGGAACAATAAATCTCTCTCCCCACCCCGCTGCCTCCTCACCTTCCACTCAGGAAATTTAAAAAAAATAGTAAATTGTATTCCTGTTTTGCTTCATTTGTGCAGACTTGTCTCTTCAAATATTCTGTAACTCCCTTTAGAGAAAGAAAACCTGTGTACATAGCAGGTATTCAAGAATCATTTATTGATGGGGATTAAGAGAGATTAACACTTAAAATTTTAATTAGTGAAGAGGCATATAAGATAGGTATTAAACTGTCCCAGTAATCACCTTCATATTTAAATATGAGCTATATCTGGAGGTAAAATCATGGATAACATCCTATGCCAATAAAATTTACTTTCATCAGCATAATTCTTTACATTAAGGAATGTGTTCAATGTTTAGAAAGAGAAAATTATTCATATGTTTGAGTACATATTGTCCTGTGATAAGTTAACCTCCCTTAAGGAAATGAAAGGTTACTCTATTAAAACACAACTTACTGGGCTTTGATTACAAAAAATGTTAAGAGCTACCAAGACCTGCCATGGTGGATGTTTTATCTACCAAAAGCCAGCCTAGTTCCCCCCTGCCCCCCTATTAAATGTAGACATTTTGAGATTTTGTTCCTCTATAAATTAGCTGAAGTCATGACCCTTCCATCAGCTTTCTAGATCTCTCACACTCCGTGCTACTGGGCAACAACCCTTACCCTATACCAGCAGAAGACCAGGGGTACAATTTCTGGAGAGAGTAAAACAAGGGGTGCTCAGACTGAGGGATAGGAGACATAAAAGCAGGGCAATGAGGCAGCATGCTCCTCCTGTTCCCCAAACAGTAAGGTCTTTGTCCTCCAGGCAGAGGAATAGGGAGAATCTGGCCGCTGAAAAAGGTAAAATCCTAAATATGGCAATATTAGGGTTCCCCAACAAACCCCCACCCAGGTCATCTTATAAAGTTCAAAGTCATAAATCCTATCCACACACTTCAAGTTTTCAATAAACCTTTTCATTCTTCATTCTTAATAATGAATAGACAACATATGATCACCAGATAACTGAGGAAAAGGGAGACCAAAAAATCAGAACACACCACCTTACATAAAAAAGGCTACAAAATAAAAAAAAGAAAACTAACAAAAAAACCCCCCACAAAACTATGCCATATTATACTCAAACAGCTATAATAGTGCATTCATGAAATAAGAACAAGATACCAAAAAGTAAAAACAACATAAAGGCTGGAAAATAAAGAAAACTCTCAAAAAGTGGAACAAAATATTGGGAGATGGAAAAGAGAAGAAAAACAGATTACTAGTCTGGAAGGTCCAGCATCCAAAAAGAGATCCAGGAAGAGAACACGAAGAAAAGCGCCAACAGTCATTCGGAACTGAACAATGTGCATTTCCATATTGAAAGGGCCAGATTTTCTTCATGTATTTCAGCTAAACAACTTACCACAACAGATTGAATACAAAAGCAAGAAGATATGATAATAATCCAGCTGCCTTTCAGTAAACTGACATTAGATTTTCAGAAATGTAAATCAATGCTCTTCTCACTACAGTTTTGGAAGATATAATTATTTTTCATAAAAATATGTTATCTCAGTATGTGATAAGTTAGCAGAGCTTATCAAACTAGTTAATAAAAGAGCAATATGCCCTGGCTGGTGTAACTCAGTGGATTGAGCACATGGGCCTTCGAACCAAAGGATCATGGTTCGATTCCCAGTCAGGGCACATGCCTGGGTTGCAGGCCAGTTCCCAGCAGAGAACCCACAAGAGGTAACCATACATTGATAGTTCTCTCCTTCCATTCCCCTCTAAAGATAAATAAGTAAAAAAAATCTTAAAAAAAAAAAGCAATATACTCTAAGCTACTTGCCAGAGATATATACTTTGAAGATCTATGATTCTACTTATCTCTCTAACATAAACCTCATTTCACTCTATCTTGTAGTGTCTGTCTTCCTTACTAATCCATGACCCCCTTAAAGCCAAAGATGAAGTCTTCTTCAACTCTGTATTTTCACAAGGCCCCATCACAGCCTGTGCTAGGATTTAATAATGATTTAACTCAAATGAATAAATAAATGAAAACATCCAATTCACAAAATTAGAGCACACTACAGCAAACAGCTCTTTCTTCCATTTTAAAAACCTATACAGCGCTATTGGAAAGTCATGTGTGAAATAAGAATGAGATCACTAAGTGTATTCTTTAAGTCAGTGATTCAATGACTCTGAGATCACTATTCATTTTGTAAACACACAGAAAACTACATATATAAAAGATCTAACTTACAGCAAGCACCCTTGAATTTCACTCCCATAAAAGATGTTTTTTACTCTCTCCCCCATTTTTTCCTCCCTCAATCTCTGTTGACTTCGGGGACCTTTGTGGTCCCTCTGGGTTACACTTTTGTGCACTGCCACCCATCATCAGGTTAGTGTGACCAACCAAAGACCCTAGCAGGTCCTAGACCCTAAAGAGGAACTACAGAAAAATAACTTACCAATAGTATGATTCCCATAAAGGAGCTGCTCCAAAATTGCTGTTTTCCCCACAGACAGCAAGCCGCAAACCACAACCTTGCAGCCCTTTCCCATCTTCTCTCAGGTTACCACTGTAAAGAGAACAAAAGAGCTTTAAAACTGTATATGGTAGCCCTGGCTGGAGTCATTCTGTTGGTAAGAGCATTGCCTCCATACTCCAAGGTTATGGGTTTGATCCCCGGTCAGAGCACATGCAAGAATCAACCAATGAATGCATGAATTAGTGAAACAACAAATCAATCATGTCTCTGTCCCCTTCCCTCTGGCTCTAAAATCAATATGTAAAAAAAATTTTTTTAATTGTATATGGTTGAAATCAACTTTTTTTTCTATGTTTAAATTTAGTAATACATACATGGTGGGGGGGGGTGGGGTTTCAAATATAAAAAAGAATACATAGCCCTGGCTGGTGTGGCTCAGTGGATTGAGCACTGCCCTGTGAACGAAAGGGTCACTGGTTCAGTTCCCAGTCAGGGCACATGCCTGGGTTGCAGGCCACATCCCTGGTAGTGGGCGTGTGAGAGGCAACCACACATTGATATTTCTCTCCCTTTCTTCCTCCCTTCCCTTCTCTCTAAAAATAAATAAAATCTTAAAAATAAATTTAAAGGAACATGCCACCTAACCACATAGGAAGAGGATTAAAAAAAAATCTTCCAAAATATAAGAAAAAATGATGGCAGCCGGGAACAATTCTGTAGTCAGAAAGGTTGCTATGGAGACATAACTTCTGATTCTCTAGGGTTATTTCCCCTTCCTCTGAAAATGTCTTAACCCCAGCAGAATTTCTAAATAGCAATCCTTATGTCATCTCTCCTTCCTCTTCAATCAATAAAGTTCCTGCACCACAAATTACATCAATCTAAAAAAAACACCTGACAGCAGCAATAGACCCTCTGCAAAAGGGCGGCAAATAGGAGTCCTGGGGACTGCAGCAAACTGGGAAAGTGCTGAAACCAACAGAATCCCGAGAAATCCAGAAATCAAATATTCCAGAGTTTTAAAGTGGTCTCAATATATCTGCTTTAAAAGTGGTATACTACTGCCCTGGCTGGTGTAGGTCAGTGGATTGAGCGCGGGCGGGCCTGCGAACCAGACAATCACCGTTAGATTCCCAGTCAGGGCACATGCCGGGGTTGCATGCCGGTTCCCTGCAGGCCAGTTCCCAGCAGGGGATGCACGAAAGGCAACCATACATTGATGTTTCTCTCCCTCTCTCCTTCCCTTCACCTCTAAAGATAGATAGATAGATAGATAAATAAATAAATAAATAAATAAATAAATAAATATTTAAAGAAAAAAGTGGTATACTACCATTGTACTTTGATCGCTCATATTAGGATTAGCAGATAAAGCCTGTTTAAAATATGTACATTTTGTGTGTACTTGTAAGTAAATACCATATGTTGCCGTGTATCATGCACACCCACGTTTTTGTGTACATTATACACAGGATTATTATGTCTGTTATTATGCCATGGAATGCAATCACTGCACCCATGTATAATGCACATCCTTATTTTTCCCTAAAAAATTTGTGCAAAAACACGCGCATTATACACGGCAAAATTGGGAGGGCGAGGTTGTTTCAGTATACTGCAGACATCTCCATCAAGGGCAGAGAGTAAAAGGAACTGGACAGAGGTAACTCAAACACCAGGTAAGGATTTTAAGGCTTTTTAGAAAACAAAAGGAAAGAGATAAGATGGAACAGACCAATTCAATATTTTGCATCATTAAAAAGGAAAAAAAGATGAAACGATGCGTGGTGGATCGAAGAGCAGCTGACATGTTCTAGGCAGCTAGCTGTCTTCAAGTGGGAAACAATACTACATAAAGCTGAAGATCAGTGGCCTGTTACCATCAATTAGGTAGGTTGAATTCTTTAATAAATTAAAATTTATCATAAGACTTTGGGTGAATAACATTAAATACACATTGAAAAATATTTTCTACATATGGCAACAATGGCAAGGTCTCACAATATGTACAAGGAAATGGTTATGTTTACATACACCCAGACTTACAAACAAAAACGACTAAATGCCTAATTCTTTAAGCATTATAATATTTAATGCACAAACACGATAAACACACAGTATTTCATTCCAAATACAAAAAAGAGGTCATCTGCAGCACCCTGCGTGGGCACTGAATCACAGTGGTGGATCCCGGGGGTGGCCAAGTCTCTTATGTAAATCTAGGTTGGGAGAGTTTGAAAGAGTTCATGGACTATGACCTTTAACATTCCTGATGCTATGAATGGCAACTACATCGACACTGAGGTTAACAAAAAAAGCATAGTTGGAGCTACTTGTTACAGTCCCTACCCTCAGAAATTGCTGGACAATAAAATTCAATCCATGACCTATTAAAACGCATCTGATAGAAATAACTAAGAAAATGTGCTGAATAGGCAAAACCCAGTGCAGTTTTAAATACATACTGCTTTGCTTTACAGGCTAGTTAATAATTTTGCTAGAGAATGGCCCTGGCTGGTGTTGCTCAGAGGACTGAGTGCAGGCCTGAGAACTGAAAGGTCACTGGTTTGATTCCCAGTCAAGGCACGAGCCTGCATTATGGGCCAGGTCCCCAGTAGGGGGTGCATGAGAGGCAACCATACCTTGATGTTCTCTTCTTCCCCTCTCTAAAAATAAATAAATAAAATCTTCAAAAAAAATTATCTTGCTAGAGAATAAAAACTTGACCTGGTCCATTCCTGTGGATAACACTGAGCTTAGTCAATATTCTCTTTGAAGAGCCAATCAGAAATAGCTCCCCAAAATATCAGTACTTCTGGTTCTTTTACCTCTGGAAATCATTCCACTTTTATAAGGAAAACACAACCGTTTAACACAGTTAAGTTTTTCCCATGTGATATTTACATCATAACACCTATAATATCTATGATGTTAATAGTGTTTCAGTATGTTTACGTCATAAGATCTATATACATTGAATGAAGACACTTGTATCTGTTTACATAAAAATACAGTGTACACATTCAATATACATTAAAGTGTATTTTTATGCAAACATATACTGTGTGCAATACTTTTACTATCCATATATGAATATATTTACATACATAAGTATACATTAAAAGGGTTTTGCAAACAGTATAACACACAAACTTACCATTCTTTTATTCATTTAATAAATATTTACTAAGGGTTTATCTAGTGCTAGGCATTAGAAACAAACTAGGGGGCAAAGCCAGAAATAGTCCCTACCTTTAGAAATCTCAAAATTAATTACAAATACTAATCCAAATCTTTCGAAACAGAGAAACTGCAAATTAATAAACAAAACTACAAAACTAAGAAATTAGCAAGGGTTATTCACATTGCCAGACTCTCCTTTCCAAATGAGTCACCCAATTCTGCAATCAGTCTTGACGTATTTTTCTCACACCCCACTTCTGGTCCATCGGTAAATCCTCTGTACCTTTTAAACATCCAGGTGGACCACTTACCACCTCCATCACTCGAACACAATGAAGTGTCCAAGGTGCCAACTTCTCTCGCCTGGTCTTAAAGACATTCATGTCATAAACCCCAAAACTGGGGAGTATTTCACTTGACAAAGGAAAAGGATTTTGTAGCTGTGATTAAACTAAGACCATTGAGATTCGGAGATTATCCTGGATTATCTGAGGGGACCCAAAGTAATCACACCTGTCTTTGTACAAGGGCGAGACAAGAATGTCAGAAAGTGATAGGTTCCTTTGAAGATATCCTACTGCTATCTCTGAAGATGAAAGAAGGGAGCAGGAGCCAAGAAATACCAGGGGTCTCTAGAAGCTGGAAAAGGTAAAGAAATAGATTTCCCCTTAATGCCTCTAAAATGAACACAGCCTTACTGACACTTTGATTGTAGCCTAGTGAGATTTCTGACCTGCAGAACTGTAAGAACAAATCTGTGTTCTTTTACACCAGTATATTTGCTGTAATTTGCCAGAGCAGCAGTAGAAAACTAATGTAGCCTCCTCACTGGTCTTTCTGCTTCCACTTTTCCCCTTCTTTCTTTTAGCCTCAAAACTACGATCCAAATTGATCCTTTAAAAATATGTGAGCCGCACAGTTATCCTTCTCAAAATCTTTCCGTGGTTTCCAATCTTAAACACTACGGACACCCAAAGTCCTCCTAAGAACCTTCAACTCTCTGGTTCCCCCGCGGTTCACAGCAGCCACACTGCCTCTCTGCTGTTCCAGTATTAATCCGAACATACTCCGGCCTTGGCACTGGTCCCTCTGACTGAAAGAAGTCCCCACATCTCCACAGCTCATATCCTTCAGGTCTCTTCCTTAACGTTCCTTCTCGGAAAACACTTGCCCTGAACACTCCATTCAAAATTTCCACCGGTCCCCAACACTCCCCATCTCTTACCTCCCTTAACGGCTGTGCTTATTAGCATTTATCGCCCAGTCCTTTCTCTTACTATGTTTATTGCCCATTTCCAAGAAAGACAGCAGTTCTGCCTTGACCACTGCTGCACCCCCAGCGGTTGGGACACTGCCTGGCACATATCAGACACTTCATAAATATTTGTTAATTGAATCAACGAATCATGTGAGGACTCTCCTAATGGTAAAGCTGGGGTTAAAAAAAAAAAAAAAGGAGAAAGGAAAGTAGGAAATAACCAAAACCGCTAATGATAAAAGGTAAGTATGATTCTCTTAAACCTTGGCCACACCTAAACTTAGAATTTGTAGAATTAAACCACACGATTGTATCAAAAATGAAAATATTCTGGAGACGCCAAAAAGCTAGTAAACCATTTTGTCAATAACGAACGCAACACAAAATGTCAGCATTTTCTCGGCATTTCTTCCCTAAACACTTGCACCTGCCAACCAGATCTTGGCAAATGAATATTACGCTTTTCTAAAAAAAAGGAAACAAAAACAACGAAACTGTGGTCTTGACGTTGCAATACTGAAACCACATCGCTACGCAGGAAAGACATGGGAACGATAAGGCACAGAGCCACTCGGGTTCCACCTCCCCAGACCCTTTTAGAGCAAAATACCTCGGAACCGGGCCTGCAGGGGCTAAAGCCCTAACTGGCCGGCAAGAGGGTGGGGAAGGGGGCTCCTGCACCCTTGGCCACAAACCCCCGACACGGACGCCTTATTTGGCGTCGAGAACCACCTCGCGACCCCAGACTTCTGTGCCCGTCCCAGGGGAGAAAGGGGACAGCGCTTCCCGCAGCGACACCTAAAGCGAGGAGCCTGCAGTGCGTGAAACATACCCGTACACCAAAGTGCTACAGACCCCGAAGGAATCGACGCGTGGGCTGCGAGGCTCCAAGGCGGGTTTTAGCCACTGGAGCCCCGCCCCCAGCTTGTCTCTCCGTACTGCAGCTCCCGAGTGCTTGCCTGTTGAAGCCTCGTCGAGGACTGTCGCCAAGAGCAGCAGGGGGCCGGACAAAAGTGAACGCTGTGTCCAATCACAGCGGAACTCCGCCTACCAGGCTCGCGCCCTCTCGCTCTCTCGCTCTCTACCGGAACTACATGTCCCATGAGGCTCTGGGGGAACCGCAGCTTTCACCGGAAAAAGTTTCCCTTGAAGTAGAGGAGGAGCCAAAAGGGATTGTGGGAGAAAGGTTCTTCCTTTCCATCTGGCCGCAGCCATAAGGTAAGCTATGTCGGAGATGTTCCCTATTCCATCCGTCGCGGATCTCCCTTCACCTGAGCCATCCAGGCTTAGGGATCCTGCGCCCTCGGAGCTTTTCCTGTTTCCAGTGCGGCGCGAATTTGATCAGGATGCAGGGCAGCGGGGATATGGAGAGGCAGCCCCCGGGGCGGACTGGGGGTTTATGTGATGGCGGCGCGAATTCGATCTGGGCTCACAATGTAAAGGAAAGGAAGACGTGGGAATGAGAGGAGTCTGGGCTGGGTCTTCCTAAAGCGAGCCCGGCCGGGTGGGTGGGGTAAGTGCTTTTTCCTAGAGAGTTAATCTTCCGCGGCGGCAAAATCTTTTCCTATATGGTCCGCGAAGTCTTTTTGCAGATTGGGCCCGGCCCTTGGGGACGCTGTGTGCCGCAGTCATCCGCCCCCCTCAGGGCCCAAGTCTAGCGCCATTTATTTGTCCAGCAAAAATGGCATTTTCTGCGCTGCGCCGCGCTGGCGTCGCGGAGGTAACTGAGCGCTGCTTTCCACGAGCGCAGAGGAGGGGTTTAGGTTGCTATGCACTGCAGTTTGTGCAGAGCCATTTTCATCCTCAGTGGTTTCCTTGCGGTCGGCGGGGAACTAAGATGGACGGTCGGTCTCGTTTACTTTAAATGGAGGACGCTTTGAAATACTTTTTTTTTTTCCTCGAAGGTAAGCCAAGATGGGCGCTTACAAGTACATCCAGGAGCTATGGAGGAAGAAGCAGTCCGATGTGATGCGCTTCCTTCTCAGGGTGCGCTGCTGGCAGTACCGCCAGCTCTCGGCGCTCCACAGGGCCCCCCGCCCCACCAGGCCCGATAAAGCGCGCAGGCTGGGATACAAAGCCAAGCAAGGTGAGAGGTCTCTGCCTGGGTGTTGGGATAAAGTTGGGTCCCCCGGGAAAAGATAAAAACCCGTGACTAGAAAGAGCTGCTATTTCCCTGATGTAAGCCTTCACATGGGGCTTTGGCAGCAAATGGTGGCTCGCAATTGTTATGTCAAGTGTGGTGTAGGTTACACAAATTTGTATGAGCCTGGACTAAAGCCCAGTAACAGTCTAGAGTGGAAATGAGAAGTTACTCTATCTCTATTTGTGGTTAACAAATTCTTCTACCTCCATCAAATATATAATATTTGACATACGGTCTGAAAATATTTGATGTAAGAGCAGAAATGGCATGTCAAGTCATTCTGTGGCTTTAATGAGAGCACTGTAATTTTTGTTTATAGGTTATGTCATATATCGGATTCGCGTGCGCCGTGGGGGCCGCAAGCGCCCTGTCCCTAAGGGTGCGACCTATGGCAAGCCTGTCCACCATGGGGTTAACCAGCTGAAGTTTGCCCGAAGCCTGCAGTCTGTTGCTGAGGTAAGTGGTTTTTGCATAGTTGGTTGGTCACCTCCTGGAGATGGTATACAAGGATTTGTGTGGTTTTTCTGATGGCTAACTTATGCCTAGGTGAGCCCTTTTTGTTTTAGAAGCTTTAGTTACTAATCTTGGTAAAGAGTTTCAAAGACAAAACTTTGTATATCTTTGTTACTAATTTGTCTTTGCTCATATGTGTATCGGAGAGTTGCATTTTAAGATTAGTGTGAATCTGGAACCTAAGCTTTTCAAGGGTGATAAACTTGGTCTGGAAGAGCACATTTCCCTAGGTGTAGAAGCTGTGTGCTTTTAAAAGGCAAAAAAGGCTATGCCAAAGAAGCCACTGTGGCCTGCAAAGTCTAAAATATGCAAAATGTTAAAGTTTTCTATATGTATAAAGGTTTGCTGAAACCTCTTGAATTAGAAAAGAGACAAAGTTCCAGAAACCTAAATTTGTTAGCCAGAGTCTTAACATTTAAGCCTTAAGGGCATTTGCAAACTCCAGTTATTAGGCGAGGGAATAATAGGGAATGGTAAGTTTACCTTTTCATACTTGATAGTCACTATCATACTTGATAGTGGTGAACTGAAGAGAAATCTTGGTTTCTAATTTCTGTGGGAAATGTGGGAGACTAACCTTTTTTCCTCTTCTAGGAGCGAGCTGGGCGTCACTGTGGGGCTCTGAGAGTCCTGAATTCTTACTGGGTTGGTGAAGATTCCACATACAAATTTTTTGAGGTTATCCTCATTGATCCATTCCATAAGGCTATCAGAAGGAATCCTGACACCCAGTGGATCACCAAACCAGTCCACAAGCACAGGGAGATGCGAGGGCTGACATCTGCAGGCCGCAAGAGCCGTGGCCTTGGAAAGGGCCACAAGTTCCACCACACTATTGGTGGTTCTCGCCGTGCAGCTTGGAGAAGGCGCAATACTCTCCAGCTCCACCGTTACCGCTAATACGTGTCATGTTTGTAAAATTCTTACCTAATAAACAATTTAGGACAGTCATGTCTGCTTTAAAGTGTTCTTTAATTTGTTGAAACTAGTTGTCTGCAGATTGTTTCGTGAATGCATTGTCAAATTATGAAAGTTAAAGTGCAATAATGTTTGAAGACTATAAGTGATGGTGTATCTTGTTTCTCATAAGATAAACACTTGTTTTTGCTTTATCTCAGCGATTTTCAACATTTTTTCATCTGTGATATACCAAAATGTGTATTAGTTTTTTGCTGGTGTGATTTTTTTTTTAAAGGTATAATTTTGATTTATTCACATCAGGTGGCTATTGTGTTGGCTGTCGTCATTTTTTTATTTGACAATCTAAGGGGAAAGAGGTCAGTGCCCCTGGCTAAATAATGCATGTTTTCAAAATCCTTGCAACACACCAGTGTGCCATGGCACACAGGTTGAAAATCGCTACTTTTTCTTGTTAGGGAGTTTTTCTATGTCAGTGATTAAAATGCTGTTTGGTATGATAGGTGTAAAATAAATTCTGTGAAAAAGGAGTACAGAACTAGCTGTGTAGATTTGTTGATGCATGTGATGAAACCTACAGCTTTACTGGGGTAATGCAGTCTTCTGCTGGGGTAGTCTCAAGGGGATTTTTTAAGTTGAATTTTGCTTGGAAATGCAAAAGATAACCTGTTCTCATAATCCTATGCAGAAAAATGAAAGTTAACTAGGGGGTCCATATTTTTAGATTAACCTAATACAACTGCTCTTCTGAAAAGAGAAATGTTAGAGAATGCCACCACTTTTTAGGAGAAGCAAACGATCTTGCTGCAGGAAGGCTCTCAAACATTCTGATTTACCTAAACAAAATTAGCTTGGTCTCCACAGTACTGTTGACTCACAAGAGGTGGACACAGCTGGTTCAACCCCATGACTTGGGTGCATAGAAGAATGAATTTCTTGCAGCAGAGTAATGGTAATTTCACTGGTGTATATTAAAACATGGAAATTGGACATGAGAAAAATAATTCCCCCCCTAGCTGCCCAAGGGAGAGAAATACGCTTTGTTTTTAAGAGTACTTCTTTGCTTGGTCCATTTAGTCTTACAGGTCATCTTGGGTCTACGTCCATTATCCCCATAAAGCTACTAAGAAATGTCAAGTAGTTGGTGTCAATACAAGTTCATGGTTTCCAGTTGAATGTTACGCACCATCAACAGTTACTTTGCCCATACCTCCTCAAAATCCTTAACATTCCACAAACTTTCCAGACCTTCAACTGTGCCCACCCTAATGTTAAAGTATAGCACCACATTGTGTTTGTGTCTTCCAGTAGACCAGGCTTCTGTGTCCCGGCATGAATTTGAGCGTGGGAAATGAAGAAGAGGAATTGGCTCCAATTTACCAACTCTGGGTTTGCTGACTTACTAGGTACTTTGGTTCCAAAACCTAATTGTGGGTTTCTTCGGAAATCAAAAGGCTCAGTTAGGCGATATCCAGAAAACATTTAGCAAACTCAAAACCTCTTAAAGACAAATTCCTTTCCACTCAAAAATCTTACACCATCTCTTGTGTGTGTAGAAGATGTTCAACTAAAGGAATAAATGTTTGTTAAACCAAATGGATCTTGTGTTATCTTTTGTCATCTAAACACTATAATAGGGCACATGCCTAGGCTGCGGTTTGGTCCCCTGGTGTGTGCCTACCTGTGTGAGGCAACCACTCATTATTTCTCACACCCATGTTTTTCTCCTTGTCTTTCTCCCTCCTCTCTAAAAATAAGATACTCAAAATAAGACAAAACAAAAAAAACAAAACACCACTTCAGTAGAGTCTAGAAGGAAATAGAAAGGAAAGAATTAACATGTACCCAATTAGACAATTATTTTTCTAATAGGTTAGAGTTTAGACAAGATAAGGAATCCTCCCTGGGACTCCCTCTGATGGCTTCGGGCAGGCTTGCCTCTTACCCTTGTGCCTGTGTCTGGCGCCTGTCCCTCCCATTCTCAATATACGAGAGAATGCTGTGCATTAGCAGAGGAGTGGTTAAGGCAACGAGTCTACAGTCAGGTTGCTGGAATACAAACGCCTGCACACCCATTTCCTAGCAGGAATGATCTTGGGCAGGTGGCTTCAAGTCTGAATTCTCTGATTTGTAAAATCAGTAAAACAATAAACACAGTTTGTCAGTATTTTTCCACTCGTACTTGGAGAGGAGTACTCTGACAGCCTGGATGTCTAGGTCAGACTTTTTAGAGAGAAATAGTGCTATAGTAGAACAAAGGGATCTAGTAGGTCATGATGGCTTGAATGAAATTTCTGTTAAGAACTAATTCCCTTCCCTCTAATTCTGCACTTCCCCAAGCAACCATTTAATCAGTAATTTGGTCTTCAATTGGACCATGAGTAGTTCTGAATAGCTCTTTTTTCTGTAGACTGTAGGTTCGCATTGCCTGT